AAGGTCTTAAATAATCAGGCCCCATCTTATCTTAATGACCTTGTAGTACCATATCACCCTATTAGAGCACTTCGCTCTCGCTCTGCAGGCCTACTTGTTTTCCATTAGTACCTACTCGGATCGACTCGCCACAGTTTTCGGGGTTTTCATTAGTACTTGGTACCGGGTACTAAAATAGTTCCTGCACAGCGATCCGAGCAGGTACTAAAACGTGATGTCATCAGACCGCATGCTAGCAACTGGCTCGTCAGTGGCGTCACTCGATGAGTCATGAGAGAGTCTCATGAACAAAAATCAAAACCACCATTTTTGAAACCCGGCGATGAGGGAGATGGCTACAAAACCGACGCCGTGGTCCCCGAGTGTGACGAAAAGCCACAGAGCGAGCAGCAGGTGTATCATTGCCTCCACCTTTGTTCTACAGTTTGTGTCGTATACCGATTACGTCACAGGACACTCGGCCGCGTTGCTATGACGATGACCACGCATATTAGGTGGTAATCTGCTGTGATGGAAAACCAGTTGATGTGAGTAGTAACTAATGGAAGAAGTCAACGTAACCTTAACATGATAAAGATATAAAGTTTCTGAGATATCGCTGCTACTGTACTGAACTCCCCTCACTATGAAATGACCAAATCTGTATGTAACTAAATGGCTTTGCAGTGCGCGCTTCCCGCCTGCACTCAGCACCTACCACAAAATGTCAGCAATCCAAGGTCAGCGATGAGAAATAATAAGAAGCGAGTTCCTCCATTGTTGGCTTTAATGCCACAGAGTGCAAAGCCTTTAAACTTTAGTGTTGACTTTGGAGTCACACAGAGGTAGATGCATAGAGAGCCTGCAGGTGCACTCTCACAGTGTGTTTCTGTGTGTGTCCCTGCACACACACACAGCAGTCTACACCTGAGGATGTCTGTGGGAAAGTTGGCTTCCAAATGTCAACTACGTGAGAAACATTGGAAGCAACTGGAAGCAGCTGAAGTTGTACAATTCTGCCTCTGTGCTAAATTGATAGGAGGGCTGTGGGGTAGGGGCAGC